TTTTATACATTTTTTGTATACGTGATAAATACTTTCTCTATGCACAAACATTTTTAAAATGCTTGGTCAATATTTTTCAAATATTAACTTTGTTTTTTGTAATATATATATTTAGAATATTTTAAAATGTAAAATAGTTAACAAAATAAAGCAAAAACAGAAAACTGAAAATCTAAAAAGGAGGCTGGAGCTTCCCGCGCAGCTTGGCCGGCCCATGTGAAGCTCCCCTTACGTGAGGCTGCCCACTGTCTTGCTTGCAGCGAGACATAGGGGCACCCCTCTAAAACCTTTTTTTTTGCGGGTACCCCTCTAAAACCAACATACATAATAACTCGGTTTGAGAAGAGAACTGCCAATTGATCGATGGGCTGGGCCAGAAATATCTGTAGTTAAATTCTTTTTCCAGTTTTGGAAGGGGATGTCACGACGCCAGTGATGCTTAGTAATTCCTCCTTCCAGGTTGACTAGCAAAATATAAGCCATACGACGCAAAAATAATCGTATTGGAAACTTCTTTTGAATATGAATACAAAACTACTATGCATACGACACTTCAGGCCATGATTCCAATGCGACACACTATGCAGTGGACACCCTTGCTTTCGTCAGATGCATTGATGGCTTCTATACAAAGGGGGAGGTATCTCGTATTACGAACATCGCCGCGTCGTCAGAAGGCCACACCGGATAGAGAGACATGCCGCCGCCACCGCCGCATGGAGCAGTCTCCACAGCCACGATGTAGCCGGCCGACCATAGCCCGCGCCACCCACGGGTTAGATTTGGCCGCCGCTGCTAATCCCCGAGCATGCTCCGCCCCACGTTGCCCACTGCGCACCTGCCACACCACCGTCGTTGCCTTACTCTTGCGCGCCGCCGGCGCCGCACTCTAGCCCAACAGCTCGGCCCACGCCTGAGTCCACCACACGAGAACAGTAGATCCCTGCCATCGCCGGCGCCAGCCGTGCTTCGCCTAGTCGCGTCGTCTGGCTGCGGTGAGGAAGGAGGACAGAGAAGGGGAGGCCCCAGCAACAGCTGGGTTTTCCCTCCAGTAGCTCGCGGGAGCGACGGTAAGGACAGAGGGAGGTACGGGCTTGAAAGTTTTTGGATGCCATGAATTCACCGGTGTTCATGCAACACCGGCTCCTCCTTGCAGTGATGTACTTTGTCCATTTTAAAATAAGTGACTCAACTTTGTAAAGCTGGTACAAAGTTGAGTCACTTATTTTGAGACGGAGGGAGTAATTAATAATTTAACACTCTAAAGGACCTTACTTTTTAATTAAACAAAATCAAAACAGCCGAGCAAAAGTATCATGACATAGGCTTTTTTGTGAAAAGAAAGATGACCCCTGGCCTCTACATCAGGGCGATGTATACAGCCAATTTATTAATTATTCATCAAGTCCTTAAAAAGTGGCATGGTTTTTTTTTTCCTGCTAAATGATTGCTCTCTGCCTTCATTCAATGAAAATTTAGGTGGGGAAACTCTTCCGCCTGGTGATGTTTCAAACAAAATAAGGTAGTTACCAAAGGACCTATATGCCACTTAGTGGCAATATTTTCCTCCTGTCAAGCAAATCTATTTGTCTCCATCCGTGAGATGAATCAGAAAGTGTTTTTTCTTTCGGCTAGATATCTGTGAGATAGTTGGTCACGATCGATCTTTTTCGCTACCATGTACGTCCTGCGTGTTCGTTGCTCCCCTGCTCATACGTGAACAAGACAACGAAGACTTTGCGAGCTGCGCGCAGCGTGCTTCGGCTATTTTCTGCCGCCGCCACCAGCTCCGGTGAGGTTAGAGTAAGCTGGTCATGTACGGTGCCGGTAGATTATCTCGCGTGGAGACAACAAGTAGTACAGATGAATGAACATGACTTCCATTTTATATGATTAATGAAATAATTGACAGGCTTGCAACTTCTCTCCTGAAAAATACAGGGAGAGTTTTATTATCTGCGATCCATCTGGTCATCTTAATTTCCTGCTCACATAAGTACAACTTGCTGCAATAATGCAATCGTTAGTTTATTTCCTTCATTTTGATTCGTGTGACCACACCAGGATAATTGGTTCTTGCATCCGATCGGGACAGCTTATTTAGTTCATTAAGCAACTTCAACGTGAAGATCTAAACGGACACCGCTTTTGTCCGTATTTTGTCCATTTGGGTCACTCGTCCGCGCGTCCGTGTCCGTTTTTTCGTTTGGGTCATCCCGTGCGCCCAACGGAAGACAGACGCATTGTGCATGTCCGTGTCAGCATTCAGTAGAACACATGGCGAGCGAGCTCCCGTGTCACCCCGCCCCGCTCCGGTGTTGCAGCTCTCGCCCCGCCCGCGTTCTGCAGTGTCCCCGTCGCCTGCTCGCCGCGCCCGCCGTAGCTCGGCCCGGCCCCGGGACCGCTGCAGCTCGCCGCAGCCGCCTCGCTAGCTCGCTCCACCCGCCACAGCTCGCGCCCTGCCCACCATAACTCGTGGCCGCCGTGCTAGCTCGCCCCCGCCCCGGGACCGCCGCAGCTCGCGCCCCGCCGACCACAGCTCGTGGTCGCGGTGCTAGCTCGCTCCGCCCACCGCCGCAGCTCGCTGCGCTCCACGAACCCGCCCGCCTCGCGCTGCAGCACACTGTGCGTCGCGCGCTGCCGTCCCCTCCGCGCTGCAGCTCACCGCTGCTCTGCACCTGCCCAACGCCCCGGCCCGCGCGCTCCTGCTGCTGCGCGAGCTCCCGAGCCATGGCGAGCTCCTCCTGCTGCGTGGCGGAGCGCCGCCGTGTCGGGCGCGCGAGCTCCCAAGCCATGGCGAGCTCCTCCTGCTGCGGGGCGGGGCGAGGTCGGGCTGGGCACACGCGAGCTTCTGTTGCTGCGTGCGGGGTGAGGCCGGAACAAGCACGTGAGCGACAGAGGCGGCCGCTCTGCATGGCGGGACGAGGCCATGGCGAGCTCCTGTGGCTGCGTGGCAGGACGAGGCCGGGTCGGACGTGAGCGGCGACGTGGCCGAGGCATGCGCGCGAGCTTCCGAGCCATGGCGGAAGTGCAGAATGGCATGCCGCGAGCCCACGCCCACAATGCATCAGCTAGCTAGCGTGGGGCGCCATGCACAGGCCGGCATCCATGCAACTAAGCTAGCTAGCTCGCGTGGATGCTTGTACTGCCCCCGGCAGGGCAAGCGCGGTAGCACGGCGGCGTCCGAGCAGGGCGAGCGCGACGGCGTGGCAGCACCTGTGCCATGGCTGGGCGAGAGAGAGAGGAGAGAGAAAAAGCATTCCGTGAGTGATGGCAGGTGGGCCACGCGGTGCCGACAGCGGACGGAGGCAGACGAGAGGGACACAGCAAACGCCCACTTTGTGTCCGTTTTGGACCCAAATGTGTCTTAAATTCAGGACGGAAATGTGTCCACACGAACATAAAATGGACATAAAAAAATGGGTCGCTGTGTTGGGCCGTCGTTTTTGTCCGCGCAGGTCCAAACGGACATGAGAGAACGAAATGGGTCTCTCATTGGAGTTGCTCTTATATATGCTCTCTCTCTGTCTCCTCTAGTACATCACGGAGTTGATGGCAACTGCAAGTTGGCAAAGACAATGATGGCATTTTCAATTTTTTTCCTGAGAGACGGCAGATCGACACAGCTATATTATCCTACACCACAGGGACACGGACCACGCAGCTGGCCCTTCACCACCTGGTTGCAGTGCCGTTTCCTGCGCTAATAGTTAACCATATGCTTATACCTGCTTGTGGGTATATATTTTCTTTCATCTGTATATCATGACGCAAGTGGTAGGCACCAAAATTATTTCCTGCCCCCTCCGTCCCTCTCTCTCTCTCTCTGTCCGTGTGCGGTATGTGCAAACCCATAGCTCTCCTCAAGGCAGTTTAATCTTCTTCATCCTCTCTCTCTCTGTCTCTCTCTCTGCGATATGTGCAAAGCCACAGCCCTCGTCAAGGCAGTTTAATCTTCTTCGTCCTCTCTCTCTCTCTCTGATATGTGTAAACTCACAGCTCTCGTCAAGGCAGTTTAATCTTC